CCACCTAGTCAGGGCGGACGTTAAGATTATCTACTCGCCGGGGCATTGGCCTCAAGCCAATGGCCTGGTAGAGAATGCCAACCGACTGATTAAGATGGCCCTTAGACGGAATATCACTGCGGGAGACACCCGACCCTGGCCGGTCATTGTCGATCACATTTTGGCCGTTTATCGGGCTACCCCACTGGCGTGTCCCCCTTTCAACTGAGAACCAATAGTGTCCCTCGGGTGCAATTGTCCCCCTTAGTAGGTACGGAAGTTGACGCAACACGGGCCCAGAATCGAGACAAGGCCCGCCACTACATGGACTTAATGACTAGGGCCTATCCCCCGTTAGCTCGCCGTCGACAGCTGGCCATAGATCGGACACATCAATGGCATATCCGTGACTACGGGAATCGACATGCGTCGGCGGGACCACTGCCCCGCTATAAAGTTGGGGACTTGGTGCAGGTACAGAAATCTGCGCGCTCCTCCAAGATCCAGCCATGCTACACAGGCATTTACGAGGTCACGGAAGTTGGCGCACAGGGACAGCACTCCGTGAAGCTGATTCCCCGTCACAACTCCCAGGCCCGACCGCTGACACGACACGCTGCCACACTCCGGCCCTTCCAGCCAGCGCTAGGTCCCCTACGGACCCCCGCTCTTGCGAGATCACCCTCTCCTTCTTCATCCTCCTCCTCTTCTCGATCTGCCTCGTCCATTGGTGCTGAGAGTTTCAGGGAGCAGGATGAACCATCGCCAACTGGAGCATGAGCCCCTCGAGCACTTCCAGACGCCGCTTGCAGATCGCTTGTTGCGGCATCGATTTAATGAGGAGAGGCAGTTGCTGTACGACATCCAACAGGTGAACGTGCCAGCGCCCGGGGTTGCTGATTTGGCAGCGTACTCGTTGCTTTGCGATCGGCTGACATATGCGGGAGTGTACGTGGACGTGACGCAGTTGCCTGGCCGAGAGACGACCCGAGTATTAATTGAGTTCCGTGCGCTCCAGGTGGCACCCAACTTCGTGCACAGCGTCGCCACCTTCATCGGAGACTTGACGATCCTACCGCAGCAGAATCGGGAGCCGGCGCGCAGCCTTGTGCGCGAATACGTGGTGGAAGCGGCCAGATCAGTGGCCAGAGTGCAAGGACGGGGGGGACACCCCTGTCCCATACTAAATGCCTCCTTTCTTCTCCTACACCACCCTCCCCTACCAGCTCACGGAGGGCCCTTACCCCATGCGCGAGTTCTCGAAGTATTTGGTGGAGCTAACTGATGTGGAGCCGCTGCCCTTCGTCGACGAAGACACGTGAGAATTGCACCGTGCGCTGTACAAGTCGGTGGCGCTGGGGATGTTCCGGTTCTTCATGGATCACAAAGACCACGCTATCGGGGAGCACTTCGTCCTTTACTATGTCATCGCGTGGCCCAAGCCAGCGGAGAAGGAAGGGACGGTGGTAGTGTACCCCTTCGCCCCGCTCCAAACAATCGATCCGGGATTGTTGGAGCTCATACATCTTGAGCTCCTCTTCATTGCGCAAGTGATCGCGAGCGAGGAGGAGGAGATCCAACCCGCGCGTACGCTGATTCCTGACCCTGTGCCTGGGAGTGCGGCGACGCTCGTTAAGGAGACTATCGTGCCATCGCCGCCCATTCCGCATGTGCCCGATCTCAATCTTGATGGAGYCGGGCCATCATCAGCAGCAACAGCCCGAGGAGGAAGCCRAATGGGATTTCCTGATCCCATATCCAGACCCCCCGTCCTTGCGGGACCTCTCTGTTCCCGCCAGCCACCCCGGGGTGCCCCGGTCATTGACATTAGTAGTTCATCCGAGCCGAACGGTCCATCCGACCGAGGTGGACTTCATGGTGGAGCCCGCCACCATCAGGCTCGAGGCCATCGCGGGGGCGCCGCGCCTTGATCCGGCGTGGGAGCCATATCTGACACCCCCTTTCCAAGGGTGTATTGCGGCGCGATTGGCTGGGACGCTCATCTACGAGACCGGGCAGCGTCCAAACGCGATGTACCACTTCCTGGTCGTCGCGGCGCAGAAGCGGGAGCGGCGGCCTTACACCGAGACTCATGTGGTGATGACGGGTCCAGGGCCCCGATCGGTGCGCAAGCGGGTGGTGCGAGCGGTAGCGGATCTGGCGCCCCGTGTCCTCTCACATGTGCCGGGGGCTTTCCTTTACCCGTCATTCGTCCAGCATCACTTCCACGAGGGAGATGCGCCGACGACTCCTGCGGCAATGGCCGCTTTTCTTCCACCTATTCCGCCCCCTCTCAATCCCGACATAGATCACTTCCTCTGATAACCCTCGTCTACCTCTCCCCTGTCCTCTCCTTCTCCTTCTCCTCTTTTTCTTCTTCTTTTCCGTATCTAAAGCTTGCGCGACGATACGCGCTATATATATATATATATATATATATATATATATATATATAAAATCTTTTTACTTACCGATCGGGCCAGCTGACGATGAAGGGGCCGCCCGATCGAATGTATACTATGGGAGGAGACGATGGAGGATGCAAGATGCATCCACGTAGATTAGGAAGATGATCGGGCCAGCTGACGATGAAGAGGCCGCCCGATCATCTATGACATGATGGAATCAGCAGTCGGGAGACTGCTAATTTTTCGGAACCCCCTGCGTATCACAGATGTGATAAGCTCAGATCCGTACCGCGCGGCTGGCCGTATCCTTGAGGAAAAATCCCGTGGAAGCCCATAAGTACGGACGCGGATAGAAAGGGGGTTTTCTTTCTTTTTGCTTTTGTTTTCTTTTTGAAACGGCTTTTTCATTTTGTTTGGTTAATAACTCCCGCGGGCGAATAGCGGCCGCGGTATGAAAACCAAGAAACGGGTGCGGTTGGGACTTTTTGAATTTTTGCACGCGCGCCCAAGCTCCGATTTCTTCGCGCGTCTCGCATCCCCGTTTCTTGCTTTGCATCCTCACGCCATCTTCCCTTCTTTCCGCGTGCGTTTTCCCCACGCAGGACTCTTCGTCTTCCCCTACGCCCAGCTTGATCCTTACCCCGTCTTCCTCCGCGAAGTGATTGGCTGCGTAGTTGGGATGCTCGGATCAATGTGGAAAGCGGGAAACCGTGCACCACTTGGACGAACACCCCAATCATGTAGCCATGCAATCCCGCGGGTCGAACCCTCTAACTCCCCACCTCTCTCTCCTGTCCTGCTCATCTACACCCTGCGCTGCCCGCACCTCGCGCTGTTAACCCGCCGCCTCCCGCGCTATAAATTTGCGCAACCCTCTCCTCTCCCTCTCTTTGATCTCGGCTGCAATGYTGCGCGAGCTATGCGYGAGARTCCGCGGCGCCGAACAGGCTCGACGAGCCCAAGGACGGGCGGAGTGACGACGTGGGGTGGGCCCCGCGGTAGTCTCGGGGCTAAGCAGTCGGAGGGACTGAGCAGTGGTGGGGATTGGACGCCGGCCGGCAAGGCCTTGTGGCTATGGTGGTCGGTGGTCTTGGGAAGTTTTGAAGGCTGCGCCTGGGGGCCGCAACTAATTGAATTTTTTGTGTACAAGAAGGACTCGCTTTTATCTCCATTGCTACTTTGTCCATGCATGACGTATGTGTGAAGCCCCGAGTGATGGGAGCTGGTTGTGCGCACGAGTGATGTCGAAGGTTCATGGATGATTAAATGTCTTGTCAAGAGTTGTTGATTGCATGCATGTATCTGTGTATGTACTCGTCCGGGCGGGGATGGGGAAGCTGAATTGGGGGACCGTCTGCTTAGGAGTATGAGTGTGTTGATCCGGTTGTTTCCCTCCCCTCCGCGGCCTTTTCTGCGCTCTCGCGCGGTCTCGGCACAACTCACCCTCTCTCCCTCCCTCTCTCTCTCTCTAATGCTTTCCTTTTTGAACTGATAGTTTTCGCTTTTGGAGCTTCTCGCCCCCGTACCGGTGACRTCAACCGCTTGCGTCCGCGCGGACGGTCGACGCCCCCGCGAGGGGAGAGAGGGGAGAGAGCTTAGACTTTGTCGTCTTCCCTCGACGCACCCACCTTAAAGAGAGAGGAGTTGCGACGACTGTTGTATGGATTAGATGTTGGTTCGGATGACCGGGAACGCGGGACCTTGCCCGTATTCATCACGTACCTCCGACCGTCTCATCTCGCTACCGACCTTCCCAATCGCAGATGACGACAGCATCTATTGCGATGCGGACGTACGGCGCGCGCTGAGGCGGACAGAGCAAGTGTGTTGGCAGGACCCGCCTCGAGCTGGTAAGATAAGGGGGAACAGGTTTGTTTTGATTGATCGTTTTGATTCCCCAACTTTAATATTGCCTTATACGGGTTTGACGGTGTTGCCCTGGTCGGCCGCTCACGCTGCGTGGCAGCCGCAGTTTGATTGTCACTGGTGTCGCCAGGGGGACTCGTGTTCTTCGCGACGGCTGGTCCTGGGTTACGAGGGAGCGACACGTTTCCCCGAGCTTTCCCGTAGTGCGGGGGCGCTCCCTGCACAATTTCGAATTCAGATGCCGGCGAGTCCTCCCGCCGCTTTACCCTCTCGGAAACTTTCGCGCGGACTCCGTGAGTCCGACGCCGAGGCTTGAAGGCCTCGAACCAACCACCTCCGCAGCAAAGACCCGAGGGTTCGGCCACTTTGTGAGGCCGATGATGAGGCCTGAAGGCTTCGAACCCGCCACCTATCCCCCAAACCCCTGACGGCCGAAGTTTTGTCCTCCGCCGCCATGGCCCTCTCCCCTTGATGCCTTTTTCCGTCCCGATGCATGACGACAGTTCATTTTTGCGGAAACCTTTCTTGAGGTTATAGTTTCGGAGTGATCCGACCCCCACGGGACTCCGCGACGACAGTTCGACTCCGGGGAAAACCTCTGGCACGAAACGAGGGCCTCCCGTTCCGTCCGGGAGACTCAACCCTTACGGCCAAAAATCCTCGGCCACGCCCCTCCTAGAACTCTGATCGGCGCCCTCGTACGGGAAGCTGCGAGGGGGCGTGAGATTGCGTATCACATACCTAGAAGCCACTTTCAGTTCTCGTTCCGACTGACCAACTTCATCATGCTCCCTGTCTTAAGTACACTGTAACCGTTCCCTCCTCCCTTCGGTGGTCCCCCCCCAGCGAACTGTCCCCGTCCCCGTTCCCCCCCCCTCTCCCACCTCTATACCCACTTCCTGCCCCTCTCCCGCCCACCCCTGCTCCTCTCATTCAAAGCCGGCCAAGCAGGGTCTTCCCCACTGGAGAATGCAGCTGAAGGGGACACCCCCTGGTGACAGCCTACGCGGAGCTTTGGAAGGCGCCCTACAACGACTAGCAGACCTCAAGAATATTAGCTGGTTTCCCGCAGCTGGGAGGCAGGGACAGGGTTACACAATCAATTTCTACTTCAAAGACAACGACACAATGTTCATCCACTGGTAGGGGGCTCTGGGAGGGCGGGAAGTAGGGGACAAGGGCTTTGGGAGGGCAGGAACTTAGTGGGGAAGAGACCGCCTAGCACTGCTGAAAGGGTTTTGGATCTTCGGGAAAGGTGGAAGGGTTTTGGGTCTTAGGGAAAGGTGGAATAGAGGGGGACTAAGGTTGGCACCCAATAAAGCATTGTAACGACCACACTGCTAGCATTCTACATACACAGCGACAGCCAATTGCCTTATGGTCAATTGCTTTGGCACCTACGGATCATAGCCACAACACAGGGATGAAACAGCCGCCCACCTCCCCACAAACACACGGATCCTGCAAACTTCGCACTCACAGCATAGATTACTTGGATCACATGGAAGTCCACAGCATGATTTACATTGTACATTGCAGGGACGCTGGACCCGATTTCCAGCAGGTGTTGCTCCCCACTAATAGATGGAGCCATCTCGACACTGATAGGAGTGCCTGCTCGCACCAGCGTCCCTAGCAGCAGATCGGGCTGTTTCTTAAAAAAAAAAAGAAAAAAAAAGAAACAAGTGCGGTAGTAGCACACTTTCAAACTGTAAAGGCAAAAAAAACACTAATGGGCAACGAAAAAATGGCCGTAGTTCGAAAAGGCAGACATAACACTAATGGGCAATGAAGATAAGTTCGAAAAAGGCGGAAATATCGCCTTTTCGTAGGCCGTTTCCACGAATGCATCTGCCCAGATTATTAGCTAGGTTCGTTCCTTGTTCTGCTGTCTTTTTTTTTTGCTGCCGACACTTGATTTCGTGCCCTGCCAACGAGCAGAGT